AGAGACAGAGACAGAGACAGAGACAGACAAGAGTTTAGGGAACTCTAGGCTTGCCAAACACACGGAGACCAGAAGGTGGTGTATTGGGCATTGACACTCCTCGCCCATCCTTTTTCCTTTCCACCTCTTCCAACTGGCAGTTGATCTGTGTCCTTCAGAGTATTCTTTAAAAGAACTGCTCTCAAGGATTTTCCTCAGTTTTGTGAGCAACTAGCAAATCAATAGAGCTGAAGGAGAGGGTCACTGGAACCCCAATTTACAGCCTGTCAATCAGAGGAACAGGTTATAACCCGGGCTTTATGACTGCCATCTAAAGTGGAAGTGGTCTTGTAGGACTCAGCCCGAGTCAGTGTCAGAACTGAATTATAGGACACTCAGACCATGTCCACTAGAGAACTTTTGTCCAAGAACACCAGAATACAACAGGGAACACTGCTGTACAATACAGGCAAATTCCATTTCAGAAAAGTCCAACTCTTCATTAAGTGAGTAAGACCAACATTAATTAACAGTTCAAAAAGATTTTGTCACCTTAGATCAAATGGGTCATATAATGTGATTATCACCAACTTAGCAGGATGACTCCTCTCAGCTCGAAGAACACCAATGATGGTGATTAGCAGCTGACATGATGTTCAGAACTACACCACCACCACAACTTTGTTACCATACAAGAACTCACACCACTCCCAGAACACCACCAGGCACTGTACTACTGTGCTGAAGCCAGTGAGTGTCCTTTTTCTGTTAATAGCCCCAACACTACAAATACCTCATATGTGATCGAGACTTTTGGCTTGAAGGAACATTAAGTTAAAAAAAAAAAGTACAAGGTGATGTGTTTCAGAAATCTTGTAAATAATACAAGGTTTTTTTGAGATGGGATCTCAATATGCAGCCCTAGCTGGTCTGTAACTTGTTACATAAACCAGGCTGACCTCAAACCACAGATATCTACTTGTCTCTGCCTGCAGAGTGCTGGCCATGAATATGCAGTTTAAAATCAAACGTAAGGTACAGTATACCCGGAAACAACATTTTGGGACTGGAGAGATGATTTAGCAGTGACGAGTACTTGCTGCTCTTCCAAAGGATCAGAGTTCAGTTCCCAGCATCCACATGGTGGCTCACAACAGCCTGCAACTCCAGTTCCAGGGAACCTCACACCCTTTCCTAGCCTCTGCAGATGCCTGCGAGCATGTGGTGCAAAGAAACTCACGCAGGAGCAGGAGCAGGCGCAGGAGCATGCGCAGACACACAACGGCTAAGCAAACAGTAGACAGAAACCAAGTTCTCCAACATTACAATGGGGCGTGTGTACATACTAACACATTACCTATTCAACACCTGGTTTTCTGTTTCTAATTCTTCTTTCTTTGCCTCCAAGACTTCCACTTTTTCCTGAAGTCTCTTCAATTTGTTTTCATGAAGAGATTTTCTCTAGAAAAAAAGAAAAAAAAGATTAATATGAAAAAAGTATGTTGATACCTAATTTCCTATTTGAACAAAGTGATGGCTGATATTTAAGGCCTTTTTGTAAATTTAGCGATTAATATTTTCAGGGTTATTAGGGACAAAGATTAGCACATGGCTTTGTACTGAAACTTCAAAAGCAAGAAACACAGATCTACATGACACCCCCAATGGGACAAACAGAGTCATTATGAATGCCTACCAGAAAACTGGGATCAATAAACAAATCATCGCAAATAAACTCCAGAAAGGGAAGGAGTCTTACTGAGTAGGCTTGCCATCTGCAAAGGGAGCATGAGCTCTTCATGGTCTCTGATGATATACATAGTTAAAGAACCCAGAACACAACTTAAAAGTCCATTTGCAATCGATAAATTACTACCAAGCAAAAACGCAAGGACAAGAATGCTAAAATAAAGCACAAGCATACCTTAGTTTAAAAGTATGTATTTCTAAATATTAAGAAAAAATAGATTTAATTTCATAATACATAAAGTTTCTACAAGTGAACACTCTGATTTTGTTAAATTTATGGAAGAAGGGTATAATGCAACAGGACTATAAGAACAAAAGCATATTTTCAGTTTTTATAAACAGGTTTTAAAAATAGAAAGATACCCATCACGTTGGAAATAATTTAGCAGCTGCAGATCTCTTAAATATGTTTTCTGTTTATTGAAGCATAACAAGCTTGTTAAAAAAAAAAAAGCAGACTGTAAATGCAAAGCCCCATGAAAATGCACAGAGCAAATACTGGCACGACCACTTCACAGGTCAAGAACACGGCCACGTAGTGCCCGTACCTCTCCCCCTTCTCGTCATGACCCCTCCATCGTCGGAAAAGGTAACCAACTAATTTATTTCAAAGCTATGGTTCTGCTAACTGTTGACCTTCATGAACCGCACAAAGAGCAGAGCCTTTTGCAAATGCTATTTTCTTTCACTCAGCACACTTGTGAGATTATCATGTCATTTATTCAAGGTCTGGTTCATTCACTGCCCCATACTGTTTTCCACCTGTGACTACAACATTTATTTCATTCACCCAGTCCACTACGAAGGGTCATTTAGGTTACTTCTAGTTTGTCAGAACTGGAAGTTAAGTGTTCCAGAAGAGACACTTTTGTGGGCACTCCTTAGCCTTCATTATCCAGCATCCACAAAGGTCTCCTGTGCCTCCTGGCATGCGTACCCTGGCAAAGTTACCACTCCTCTACCTTTCTGACTGCACTTATTTACTTA